CCCTTTTTTTCTCTCTTTTTCTTTTTCGCCGTTTAAAACCACGTCACTTTTGTAAAAATAAAAATATAATATACCGCAGATACGTGTTCCGTTTATCGCGAAAAGAATAACGTTTTGAGAATTGTCACGAGCCTTTCGTATCTCGAATTACAAATAATCTGTCCGATTGAAAGTTCTCCAGAATTGTGCTTCCCAGTTGAATGAGGAATCTAAATTTCTTATGAATGATGTGTAATTTCAGGAGAATGTACGTAGGTACATTTCGTCGCCTGTGTCTGTCGTACAGAATGTACGAAATATGGAAAGAAGCAAGTTTTCGATGTGAAACGCAACGAGCGAACGTCTGGTTACTGGTCCGGTATGACCTTTAATCTGCTGCCATCCGTCTACTTGGTTTCGCCTCACTTTCCCTTTTTTTTTATATTTTGTTCGTCTGTCTCGCTCGTAGCTGATGGCTCGCTGTGGCACGCTGCAAACGGAAAGGCGGCAATGGTAACGGCAGCGGCAGCGGCAGCAGGTCGTGTGCGTATGACTGGATATAGACGAGGATAACGCCGTGGCGTAGGAAATTACGACGAGTTGCCGAAGAAAGGTGATGGTAGGGGTGGTCGAGAGGGATGAGGGCGAGTGATGGCTCGTTGTCGGTGGTGGCATGGCACGAGCCAGCACGACGCGACGCGCAGCGTGGCCTCTGCAGACGGCAGCAACGACGCGACGGCGCGGCGTGACGGGAGAGGCGAGGCGAGGCGAGGCGAGGCGAAGCGAAGCGCAACTGCATGTGTCCATGCGGCGTGGCGCGACTAAATGCAGCGCTGTGCGACGCGGCGCGGCGGAATACAGAACGCGCGGCGTGGCCCGTATACCGAGGCAAGTGGTAGCGCGGCGGCGATGGTCGCGAGGGAGTGGAGCAAGTGCCGTCACAGGACAAGCTCGATCCGTGCTGTTCGGCTCGTCGAGGTGACGAACCCTCGAGGCGGGTGGTGGGCAGAGGGTGACGAGCGACTGGCGGCAGGCGGCAGGCGGCGCACGACCGACGATGGACGGCAGCATGCGGCGGGAGGGTGTATGTTGGCGGCGTGTGGCGACGTGTGGCGGCGTGTGGCGGCGTGCGGCGACGTGCGGCGGCGTGCGGCGTGCGGCGTGCGGCGTGCGGCGTGCGGCACGATGGCGTGCGGAGCGCGAGCTGTAGCGTGAGGCGTGTGAGACGGGCGGCGGCCGGCGCTTCGTGGATTATAGGGAGGGAGAAGGAACGATCCCGACGACCGGTCGAACGGATGGACCGTGGAGACCGTGAAGCGTGCTCTCCACAGCCAGCCGGTATATATACGTACGTACGTACGTACGTACGCGGGCACACGCGCGCGCATTGGCGGCTGTGATGAAGCGGTGGCGCTTGAGGGGAGAAACAGAGTGAACCAGCAAGTAGCAGCGGCAAAGAAGAGAGACGCGGTGGTGGCGGGTGTGGAAACGTGGAGAGCGAGGAAGTGTGCACACGCCGCACCGTGGTAAGGCGTCGGCACGGTGAGTAGGGTTGGAGGAGATAGTCGTCGGCACGCGCGGCGAAACCTCTCTCTACCCACGCGAACGGTAGCAACGTACGTGCGAACGAGCTCGTACGTGAGAGCGTGCGTGTCAAGCTGCCTGCGTGCCAGCGTGCCACCCTGTCGCGTCCCTCGACCACCACCGCCGCACCGCCTCGTGCCGGCGTGCCGTTTCCTCTGCCTACGTATATAAGTAGACATCGTACCTCTTCTCTCTCTCTCTCTGTGCTCTGTATGAGTGAACGCAACAAACTGATGTTGGGTTGTACGCGCTCGTCCAGTGACAGAGCTAATTAAATGGTTCTACTATTTCGTGTTTCGAAATTAGTCTCCGCAATCGAGACAATTATGCCGGTTGCAGGAGGCCATTGCTTGTACTCGCTTCTTTAATAATAATTTTTTACTGGATAAATGACGTTTGCGTAGTTGAGAGTAATTGGACGGATTGAAAGACACGATTGCGATGAATCAAGAGCCAAGGAAAAGGGCTATGATGTTTT